AGCCCCCTTTTCTGCTTCATCTGGAAGAGGGTTCGGGGGCCTTTTTTCTTCAAATTTCACACTGCGTAGTATTGTGCTTCGATAAAAAATGAAACGGAGAAATGAGGAGAAAAGGGACAGAGTGCGAGAGAGGGGATGGAAGGCGAGAGAGAGAAAAATCAATAGTGAGGACATAGCTGGGGGGTTTCCATATTACATTTTGCATAGACGTCGGCTGTAATTTGCCTTTGATCTTGGTCCCAAGATGACTCACTGAAGCCATCTTCCACAGCCAATTGGGGGTGGGGGGATGAAGGGGAGGGCAGGGAGCAAGAGAGTGAGAGAGGGGGGAGGGATGGAAGGAGTGGGTGGTGGGTTGAGGATGGAGAGAGAAAGAGAGAGAAGGAGGGGAGCCGACCACAGAGCTTGGATGCCAGGCCAGGCCTTCATCTCCAGTTCATACATTCTGCTGAGATGTCTTTTTTCGCTGCAGACTGGATGTAATGCAGACTCTCCTGGCTGCTCACAGAGGGCCTGCTGTTAAGTCCAGCATGTCCAGTTCTCCCAGATAGACTGACGCACTGGGACCAGACAGGCAATGAGGGGGGGTCCCTGGCTTTCATCTGTTAATGTATGGTCACAAAATGCTTTCTTTATGGTGCTTTCCTTTCATGTTCTGTGACATAAATCAGGAGAATATTTGGTTGTGAAGCACGTGCATCACAGAGGCGGAACATCAACAAAGATAGATAAATGGATGAAATGGTATTTTCTCACGGGCAAACACAGTTTGGAGAAAATAAATACAAAGGTCAAAGTCCTGTTCATTGTGCATCTGCAAGTGGTTAAAGGGTAATTTCATCCCAAGTGCAAAAACATATAGAAAGGACAAAAAAATAAGACACAGATATTAGTAGGGGTATATCTGGGTCTTAACCAGGGGGATTAGGGTTAGGGTTAAGGGTAAGGATAGGGCCTATATGCAGGCGAATGAACTGGCAAAGGCACATGCAGGTTAAGGTAAAAGTAATGTTGTGCCTTCAACTACAGGTGAGCACATACGGACCAGCGACCGTAGACAAACTTATTGCATTGAGACGCTGTACCGAACCTCACGTGGTGAACTGTATTGCCAAAGGCGATTAAAAATCAGTCTGGGCGTTGGAATGGTATGAAATAATGAATGAAGACATAAAAGTAATTAATAGATAGAGCCGTCTCAGAGAGAAAAGAGAGGAGGATTCGTCATCTCTTCTCTACACAATGCCATTGTTCCCCGCGACATCCACTACTCACTGCGTTATTAATGATCCCGCCTTGCAGAACATCCATTTTTCTCTTTTGGCTCGCTTGCGGTCTCGGGGAAACTTTTTTGGTTCTTTTTTGTCCCTTTTCCCCCACCATCGCCTTCACCATCGTTTTTACAGTCAAAGTTGTGCGTGTTTTGTGTCACGGTACTGTACACGCTCTCCAGAGATGGGTGCAGGCTCAGAGGTGCTGTTGTGCGAGGAGCAGGGACCTGGCTTAAAGTTTTTTCATACACCAGCAGAGAAGAAAAACTTTTGTCCTTTCTATAGCTTGGCTGTTTGGCAAGCTTACCGCATGTGTTTCTGCTGTTGGAGTAAAAAGGATGCTTCTGCTCACATCTGACACTGATGAAGTTCGTGGGGTTTTACCAGCACCAGTCAGATCTGGCTTCATTTCTTGTTTTACCGAGATGTAACCAAAATAAAAAATAAAAACTTTACTTTCCAGACAGCAAAGACCAACAGCTTTTCAGCACATGTAAGCCTTTACAATTGGTCTTTAAAGCTAAGAAAGTGCATTCAAAGTTAAACTGGCAAGTGATGATGTTCCAGTAAGTTTCCACCTATCCTGCATTTCTGTCATAATTTGGCCCC